ACATATTATAATTTACCTAATCAACTTGTGTAATAATTTATTAAATTGATAATAATATTATATTTCTATATAATATGTATTATGCGCAGGCAATATAACTAATGCGTTCAAAACGTATTGTCAACATGATGATAGTCTCGATTCTATAAGTATTATTATTCAAAAATAATCGGTCAGGTCATTTAAAGGTCGGTGTATACTGTGTACCTATACATATCAGTTAAAGGGTGAACTAGAAAAAAAAGATAAACTAAAAGGCGTGTGCATCTTAATCCAAACTAACTCTATAATCAATTGTCTACCTCTCTACCTGTCACCCATTTTCTATTTGCCCGTTTAATTATAAAGTATAAAAAAAATAAGTGATATATTAAGATCTTATAAACTAGTTGTGCCCACGTAAAGACTGTGGCTGAAATAATAATTGTTATTTCAACCCAATTAATAATTATATATTTATTGTTAAATATTGTAGTATCCTCGATGATATAGACCAGATAGGTATAGAGTATAGCTGCTTTGCTATACCGAACTGTTTACTTGGGATAGGGTATGTTTTATAATTTCCGGGTATTACAAGGGTTAAATCACGGCATGACTTTTTAATTAAAACAAATAATTTATTCAATTTTCTGGAAGATACTCGTATTATGTTCATATAATACAGTTATTTTATGCATATTAATTGATAGGTATTTATATTTTTACTCTGCTGCAGAATAGTATAGCCGTATAGGTGATCATCTTAACTGAAAATTGTGTGGATATCCTCATTTTTAACGATTAAATATTATACAATATGTCACAACCAAAGCATTAGCTATCCTCACGGCAATCTAGATTATAATACACGAAGCTCATACTAAATTCATAATCTTCAGTGATTCACTGAGTACGGTAAAAAGTATACTAAAGGGTTGAAATACCCTGGGGACATTGCTTTTAAAATTCAGAATGAGCTCAATAAAGCTTCTCTTTTGGGTATACGTATCATTATCATGTGGATTCACGGACATTCGGGTATACTARGAAACGAAAATGCCAACGAACAAGCCTCATTAGCTATAACTATAACTATAACGAAACCGTTTTAATAAACCAAATGTCTTACGACGACACRAAAAATCTCATATACAAAAAATAAATGGTTAAGTATCTGGAATACGCAAAATACCAAACTAAATGAAATCAAAAGAGATACCTATCGTTGGATAAATCCAAAGCTTAACCGAAAAGAAGATACAGTACTCAACAGACTTCGCATTGGACACACCAAAATCACGCACGGATTCCTGATGGCAAGAGAGGAGCCTCCCATTTGTCAAACTCAAACCTGTACATGGAATTATGTTAACAGTCAAACATGTAATTGCCGACTGTTAATAATTGTACAACCAAGAACGAGTTGAGCACAGGACATCATACAACCTGGACCCCGCACTCGGTCCCAATCCTAAAAATAACTCAGATTTATTGAATTTTTTTAAAACACTTCAAATTGTACAATAATATAAAAAAAATGTACATCCCATTTTATTTATAACTCATCTTTGTAAATATCCTTGTAAACACTTATTCATGCATATCTTTTAATTTTCTGTAACAAATGGTCATTGGTGTCGAAATTTTTTTGTGATCAATAAAAAAAATATATATATATCCAATGAATTTAAATTAAAGAASTTGCATAGATTTGTATTTTTTTTCGTGAAATTTTTACTAATTCTAATAAAACAATAAAAATAATTCAGTTTTTAATTTATAAGAATTTAAAAATTATATGAAATTTTAATTTTTTTGAAATAAAATTAG